TGACTAGCCTTATCTTTGCTTTATCAACTCATATAACCTCTTTAATGAATATTGAAAGTTTTCATATATGTTGCAAATATTTTCTGTAATCTATTATATTGTCCAATCTATTTTTTAGAGACATATCACATTTTTATGTCATGAACTATATCTTTTTTTTTCTTCTTGGTTTATGGCTTCTAAACATATTTAGCTTATTCTTATTTATCCCACACTTTAAAACATTTGTTTGCCAGTGTTTACTTGTAGTGATCTACACTTCTGTCCTCATTTGAATTGCAAAAATATTTAACTTCATATTTTGAGAGAAAATGTGCTCTGTACAAATATAAACTGAAAGTATAAATTTAACCTGAACTTACTATAGTTTTATTTAAATGGAGAAAATTACTTTTTAAAATCATATTTGCAACACAAGTGGACATTTTATATATTAAAAATAAAATTTAAGAATTGAACCATCAGTAAGTAGGCTCAGACAGATAAAAATGAAAAGATTTCTATATTTTTAACATCTTCCTTCTTGTTTAAGAGCTATATTTACACACACAGAGCTTAGGCAGCTGTCACCGCTGTGAATTCATTGGCTGCTATGTTAAGGACTCTATTGTGGGAAACAATTTGAAAGGGAGAGCTTTTTCTGTGAAAGCTTCAAGATGTGTTCAATGATTTGAAATATTTCCAATAATGTATGTTAGAGGAGGCAGACTGTGGAATTGAGGGGAAAATTGAACCAAAACTTTAAATAAGGCTTTGTATACACTCAGAAACTTTTGCTGAAGTTCAAGACCTATACTATCTTGTTTACTTTATTCTTCATTAAAGTACACCTCTGCCTCAAACTAGAAGTTAAGTGCCAAAATTTTATATATGTCTCTTCTCGAAGTGTTTCCAGAAAGATGGGAAACAGGAAGTACGGAGAATCCTGTGAGAAACTCTTGTCTTTGGATTTCTGTCTCAGTTTGTGTATCAAGCTGTAAGTGCAGTTTCTTAAATTATTGTTCTGTGGAACACTAATTCTAAAAGATGCATCTTCATAAAAACTGTTTATGTAATCTAGGCTTCTCAAAAACTTGACAATGGAAATCCTAACTAATAAAAATACTGAATGCACTCTAAAAACTGCATTGGAGTTTGGAATCAGCGTCTAGGTTTTGGATTATGCATATAAATCTAAACTAAACTTTTTGTCAAAGGCCACCATCCTAGGAAATATGGCTACTTTGCTTGTCTAGTTTTAGGACAATGGAGCTATAGTGTCTGTTAGACCAGCCTTGGCATATAGTGGCATTTGTGTCTGTCTCAGGTGGCCTCTCCCAACTGACCTGAATAGGAAAAATGCAAGAGAACCCACAAAAGGCTTCAGGACAAAATGGGGTACCACTGATCTCTTGAGTGAGAAAATTAAATTTAATGGCAGAATTGTTAAGGCAGAGTGGTGCTTAGAAAATATCAGTTCAGATTAAAAAGGAAACCTGATTTGGCTAAGACATTTGTTCTTTTTACATGTAAAAGATAGATAGGTTGAAATATTGTGAAAGACAAACTCTCAGAATAACCAGATGGGGAGCAACAAAAACTAAGGAGATGATGTTAAGACAATGCCTTGATTCTTTATAAAATATAAGTGGGTGGAAGCAGGTAGAGATCATTTTGTCTGAAATCAAGGAGATAAGACTCTAATGCTAGCTTTCACCTCACTGAGATGTTGTGGGAAGCTTTCTGGTTTGACAAGTTAGAAGACGTGGATTTTTATCTTGGTTCTGAATCAATATGTGCACAGTTTTGGACAAGGTTTCTAGATTCTTACTTATAAACTGGGGCTTATAATATCTACTCCGTCTATATCATTGTATTACTTTGTGAATCAAAGGACATAAAAGTTTTAAAATGCTACACAATTATAATGGTATATTGCAATGATGGAATCAATAAGTAGAGATAGCATATGAATTTTTCTGGCAAGAAAATTTTGGATTCAAACCAGTTTAGAAATAGTGGGGACAATGGGCTGGCTTCCCAAATAGATAATAACCAAGGGATGTGAAGTATCAAAGGAAATAGAATAGTTTTTTGGGAGCCAAATACAAAGAGAAGGCAGGACGGAGGGATACACAGTGTTAAAAAAAACCCAGAAGAGTAAAGAAGAGATCAGTCTTGCCTGAAGAAGCTTAAAAAATGATCTTTAATATAAAAGATATACCTTATAAATAAAGTTTAGTAGACAATTACTAGAATGAAAAAGTTATCAATGTGACTCCAAGTGAGGAAATGAGGTGAGAAAAATAATGAGAAGAGAGAAATAACTGGGAAGACCTGTCATTCAGGGAAACATTGTGATGGTTTCCAATTTGCTTGTAGTGTATTCATGCATATTATTTTTATCCACGTATCTTATTCCACATTCTGTAAGATGTCTGTGGTGCCGAGCAGGCTTCTTACTTGCACAAGCAGCCCCTTCTTTACAAAAATATCTATTTTAAGATGGAAGCTATGCTGATGTCTTTTGATACCTGTTAGTCATGGTGCATTAAAGGGTGTTTAGTAAATTATAAAAATTAATGTTCTTTTTAACATGCTAAGTGTATATTCCTTTTACCAGTGTCCAAAACTGTTTTCTGTGGCACCAGGACTTTTTTCATGAACTTTCTAATCATAGCTCTTTTCAGAGTATCCTGAACAACAAAACAAAAGAGATGAAACTCGGTTGACATCTCAGCTGGTGGCCATCCTTATGTGTCCTCTGGAACAAGAAACGCATCAAAAGTGGAAAGTGGAAAAGCATTGATTTCTTAAAGTATTATATCTGAAATAGAAGTTTTTGATAGCTGCTGCTGTTTTATTTGAGGTTTTTGCTCTAAAATTAAGTCCTTAGAGTAGGAATAATAGAGTTGTTTTATACTTGACATAGTGCTGAGAACACTATTGGCACTTAGAAAGGAATAAATGCAAGTCATAACGATGGCATGTGGTTCTCTAGACCACAGTGTTACCTACTGAGTAGGAAAAGTGAAAGGCCGATGCTCCTCTTATTTCAGGAACAAAGCAGTAACTCAGAATTTTCATCTAATAATATATGACTAGTAATACATCTGAATTCTGATTTTTACATTGTTAATTTAATAGTTAATTCTGAGGTTTCTTGATAGTATACTGTAAATTCTGAATTTAAAAGAATTTTTTATAAGTCAACTGACTGTATTATGGACATCTTGTATCTTATCATTATCCTAGGGGAAAGAAAAAATAATTCAAAAGTAACCTGAGAATGAATTAGGTATCAGTTATGGTTAATTCTCAGATCTAAAAGCCAAATAGTAATAGGCACAAAGAAAATCTCTTCTGACATCCACAGAACTTCACTGATTGCTTAACCTGTGGGTAGGATGAACTTTTTAACCAATAGAGAAGGTTTTTCACTTTGTTTGTTTTTTAATCTTCAACAGCAAGTTACTGACACAGAAGAAAATGCTAAAGGGCTCTGAATCATACCTACTCCTTAGAGAGACTGACCTTCATCTTGCTCTGACTTCCTTTTCTAAACTTTTCATTTCCAAAGAAAACATTTTAAAAGATATGAAGGATCATCACGTTTCCCCCAAATCACTATACCCTAGATCTATGCAAATTGAATTTGCCTAAGGGTCAGTCAGGGCGGTGCTCCTTTCACAGCTGGTGTCCTGCAGAATGAAAGCAAATCAAAATAGAGGCACAGCTTTTCTTGTCCTGCACAAGTCACAGAGCTGCCCTTACCAGGTCTCACTGTGAAATGTTCATATGTGAATCCGGGCACGGTACCAAAGATGGAAATTAACAGGCTCTTATACTCAGAAGCATCCAGGTGTTTTTTAGGCTTGGTTCAACAGGCCACTTTCCTGCCACATTCTGGGCCACATTCTCTTGGAGAACAGATTTGCTGGCAAGGTCCTGAAATGCCCATGAGTACTTCTCTCCACACTTAATCTGCATAAAAGATAATCAGATATTCCAACTCGTCTCCCACCACATGGAGTTGGAAAATTTGGCTCTTCAAGCATGCTCTATTCTTTATTATTGAAGTATTAAATTTAAAACACTCCCTAGTGTCCCTTTTATGAAAACTTATAGAAATGATTCAGTGCTATATTTCTCCAAGGTAAATTAAGTGCCCGGTCTGGTATGTTACGTTTGAATAGCACCTTGTAAACTAACGACTGCTTGAACCTTCTGAAAACAGAACTGAGAAAAGTGAATAAGGGTTTCCTCTGAGGAATACCAGTACATTATACACTCTATAAAACGTAAATGCTTTTTATTTCCAGTCGGTTGCTAAGGTCCAAGAGTGCTTCTGCACTCACTGTCATTTTTTAATGTGCAATCTGCAACGGGAGTATCCTTTGAAGCGCTCTGAGAGAAGGAAGGTTGTCAGTTGAAGAGGGCATCACCCTGAGCAAAGCATCTCAAGTCCTTTTGTGAGACCAGCCTGTGGTCTTCCTTTTTGGAACTATTTGTGCTGTGATTTGGGAGTTGGAGGTGCTTTTAGGCCTCATTGTGAAGCTTAGGTTGAGAGATAAAGTAAGCTAGTGGTTATGAGAGGGGTCCAGGTATCAAAAATCCCGAGAAATCTAATTCGTTCTGAGTTTTACGTAGCTCCCTCCCTGGTCTTGTGGTTTCTGTGCTGAAATGCTGTTCCCTTAACCCATAGAACTTTTGTGAAATTTAATCACTATTAATGCTTCAAAAATCCCAAATGAATGAAGCAAAGTACATATAAAATAGTTTCGATATTTTGTTCATACTTGTCCAGACTGTAATTGTTTGGGTCCCAGTCATCTACCCTGGATATAAGATACACCCCTAGGATATAAATTATGTGTGTATATCCTGAGTCTCTCTCCAAATATTCCCATGGTGAAATATCTATTTAAAATTTCTAACTTTAAATAAACTCAGGAACTGGTTGAATCACAATTTTGTATGTAGCATTTTGAAAACTAAATCCTATCTTCATTTCCTTATAGTTTATTAGAACATAAAATCTTAGAATTGGAGGGAAAGCACAAGGAAGAGTTGGACACCTTGAAGGAAGAGAAAGAGACTCTCCAAGGCTTGGTTACTCGTCAAACCTATATAATCCAAGAACTAGGGAAACAATTGAACAGAGCTACCACCAACAACAGTGTCCTTCAGAAGCAGCAGCTGGAGCTGACGGACACAGTGCGTAACCTCGTCAACCTTTTCACTAAAGAAGGTGGTAAGAATTTCTTTCTCACATTGGGATAGTAAATATTTTATTTATGTGAAGCAAGGAGATATTTAACATAACTTTCTATGTTGCATTGATTGCTATGTGAAAGAAGCAAAACACCTTTATTTTTGGAAGCATTTTATGAAGTTTGCACTGACAATTTTCTCATATTTTTAACTTCAGAGCATGTTTGCATAAGTTTGAATTCATGTATTCACAATATCTTTCTAAAAGAAACTTCTTGTTCCTTCTTTCTTTCTTGGTCTTTTTTTTGCCTTAGATAAAATTTATGATACTGTCACAGACAAATATTTGGTGTTATGGTGTTAGATACTTAGTTATATAGGACAGGAATTAGCCAGTGTGAAAGATTAGTTCAGAATGACAGGGAGAGTTTCAGGAGGGTTCCCATTTTAAAACTAATATTATTGCTTCTTTTGTGGATGGGAGAGGGAAGAGTTGCCCACAAAGAAAAGGAAATAGCTATTTCCTTTCCTCTCAAAAGCTATTATGAGAGGAAAAATTTTGTTATTAAAAGTCTTTATTGAGATCTATTAAGACTTTTTTGTTTTGTTTTGTTTTCCTTTTTTAAAAATTTATTTTAATTGTTCAAGTAGAGTTTTCTGTCTTTTACTCCCATCCCAGCCCACCCCCCCAGTGCTCCCCACCTCCCCCCCATTTCCACCCCCCTTAGTTTTTGTCCCTGTGTCCTTTATACTTGTTCCTGTAAACCCTTCCCCTTGAAATTCCCTCCCCTCTCCCCTCTAGTCACTGTCACCCTGTTCTCTATTTCAGTGTCTTTGGTTATATTTTGCTTGCTTGTTTGTTTTGTTGTTTAGGTTCCTGTTAAAGGTGAGATCATATGGTATTTGTCTTTCACTGCCTGGCTTATTTCACTCAGCATAATGCTTTCCAGCTCTTTATATATAAAGTCCATATCGCTAATGCTTAGTTCACTGTGGAAAAGACCTTACCAGGTCATCTGGGCATATGTAGTCTGGGGTGTCCTTGTGATAGTGGAAATACAGAATCTTAGTATCATTAGAATATCTGGAGCCGTTTAAACACTAGAAAGATAGCAGGCGTGCGTCTCTTTAGAAAGCATTATTCCATCCGTTTATCCATCCACCTAACAATTACTGAATCAGTGCCCCAGTGTGTACTTATCCACTTCAAGCAGAACCTCTCCTGGGCCTCAGGAGAGCTCTTCAAAGTTGAGAGCTTAAGGTCATTACTATAGTTTTACTTGCTAATCAGCCTTTCTCTGAGTGAAGATGGAATGGTAAAGGGTGATGAGTGAAAGAGAACACCACTTACATCTGAAAGTTATGATTGTCATTAAGTGTGGCTTATGTGACCATTCATGTAATGGTTCAGGGTGCATGTGCACTAGACATAAAGTGGAGGCTCCTTTAATTGAATAGTGGACTTGAGCTATATGAAAAATGAGCTCAATTCCATACTTTCAAGTGCAGATATGGATGTAGAGGGCAACTCCACATGAAGTGATCTTGTTTTAAAGTGATCTCTACTATACTCCATTACCTTGAGTTATATTGCCTTTAGATGGTCAAAACAAGCCCAGAATAGTCTCTGTAAAGAGTATTTTTTTAAACAGTGAGTTCCCAGAGCTCCATTCGGGTGTGCTCGGAAATGTGACTGGGAAGGAAAAAACCTGCTAATGAGTCAGAGCCTGCCAAAACCTTGAGTTAGAGTCCACTGGAAGGGAAGTGTAGTAGGATTTTGCCAGAGAATTTTAATAGAGCTCATGAGTATTTAGAAATTAAGTATTAATATGAGATATATCTATTCTCATATTGAACTGAATACATTTGGGGAAAGATTGAAAACATATTTCTCTTATCATCTTGAGACTTAAAGCACATGGAGTTAAGTCATTCTGTTTTTTTTTTTTTTTCATGGTGTTAGAAGCATCAAGCCCTGGTGATTCTCACAGAGCTCATATGTCTGCCTACTTATCATAATTCCACTTCTTCTCTAAGTATTTGTCTAATAAATGTGTCTTTCAGCTTTTAGAAGTTGGGGGGTGACTTAAAAATTAAAATTGTTGGCTAGATTTGGAGTCTGAATGAGGCATCAGGCAACCAAGCATCTGTTCAATTAGAGAAACATTTATTGAACAATTACGATGGCACTTCTCGTGGCTGCTACCCATTATACCCACTCAGGGTATGAGAAAATTAACTGTGTCTACTGCATCTATCCTATGATATAACATACTGAAAATAATAATGATGGAGACAGAAATTGTCTAATACTTCAGGCCTCTAAATATATATTTTATTTTTAATGATATAATTCTAAAATAAATTCTGATTGAACTATGGGAATTGTGGTACTCATGTAGGCATATTGCTCTATTTCCCAATGGGTTCTCTGCTTTCATAATAATAGATTTTATTTGCTTCTTGGTAATCTTTTTTCTCTGATCCCACATTTAATTATTCTAACTAAATATTTGGTCATTTAAGGACTCTTATGAGACACAAAAATGAAAAATGCCAAGATTTTAATTTTCTGTATATTTTTATTTTCACTGGCACTGGCAATAATATCTTTATTTTCATTGTTCCTAGTTATGGTAAATTTAAAATTTTAGGTGACTAATAGCATAATACTTATTAAATATCAGTTACTAATATTAACTTTTATTTTATTTCTAAAACACATAAGTAAAACTTTCATGACCAAAACTTTATTTATCAAATGGATTTATTACTTATCAAGATTATATATAAATATTCTACTTTTTCATTTAAATATATGTAAGTATTCCTACATCTGACCACTCCAAGAAATGCACTAGTTTTCCAAAATTTGGTTCAAAGAGTAGTCTTCTGAATGTTTTCCCCAAAACATCATAAACTATCTTTTAATCCAAAAAGCAAAAATTTTAATTGACCCTAAGGCTCCTCTAGTTCAAACTTGACTGTTATTTATAGAGACAAACTGAATGTAATTCAAGGCAAGGGAATTTTTTTTTACTTTTCTCTGTCCTTGGCAACTAATTTAACCTTTATGAATCTGTTTCATCATTTATAAAGTCAGAAAAATTGGTCTCCTTCACAATGGCAGGGGAAGAATTAAATTAGATACTGCACATAAAAGCGAAGAGACTCTAGGTACTTCTTTCTCCTCCAAGTAACAAGATTCAATTAAACACAAATTTATTAAGTACTATTTATAAGTAAAATTTTTTCATGTAAAATGTCTGAATACAATGCTCTAGAGAATGCCTGTTGTCATCCTATCACCTTCTTTTAGCCTCAGTGTTCTTATCTCTAAAGTGGGGTCATAATACATAACTGATGAGCTTGTAGTAAGAGTTGAAACGGGTTTGTATAAGCACGATCTATCCATAAACTATCTATCTATGATTAGTTATGTGCTGCATAATGGCATTTCAGCCCATGACGGACCCCATATAACAGTGGCCATATGAGATTATAATGGAGCTGAAATTTTTCAATCACCTAGTGATGTTGTAGCCAGCTCATCATCACAGTACAACACATCACTCATGTTCGTGGTGATTCTGTGTAAAGAAATCTGCTGTACTGCCAGTATATTATACCATATAGCATTATTACACTACATTATACTTGATAATGACAATAAATAACTATGCTACTGGTTTTTGTATTTACTATACTGTACTCTTTATCATTAGTTGAGAGTGTACTCTTTCTATTTATAAAAAAGTTTGCTATGAAATAGTGTGTCATGTTATGCCAGCAGCAGCCCCATACGGTGCGTGTTTATGGGGTCTCTTGATTGCATCATTTTCTTTTGTGCTTGATTTAAGCTCATGTTGTTTTGTTTATATCCTGTAATCATACAAAATCCATGGCTAATGTTGCCAGTAAAAGACCACACTGAATGGCCAACATAGAAATGAACTTAATAGTGAATAACGACTACCAAAGTAGAAAATCCATGGTGCTCATTACTTACCAGTCAAGCATGCCTATTCCACCACAGCCTCGACTTTGAAGAACAATAATAGAATGAAGTTATCAAAGTATCTACTACTTCATCAAAGGCAACAAGGCTAACAAAAATTTTAAAAATACCTATATCAGACATGGAGAAACTTCTAATGACCTGGATTAAAGACCAGACCCAGAAGCATAGCTTTTTAAGCACCACAATAATCACAGCCAAAGCAACAAGTTTGTTGAAAGAAAAGGCTGGACCCGACTATGATGTTGAATTTATTGTTAGCTCTGGGTAGTTTAAACCATTCAAGAATCATTATTTATTACCTAATGTGCAAGCGAATGGTGAGTCTGTGAGTGCTGATGCGAAGGCAGCTGAAGAATGTTTGGACACTCCAGATAAGCTGATTGTGGAGGAAAATTACTTGCCAGAGCAAATATTCAATATGGATGAAATTTCCCTATTCTGAAAATGGGCATATGAAAGCACTTTTATTCACGAGGAGGCCAAACCAATTCTAGCTTTTATGCTAACAGTCTTGCTTGGGGGCAATGTTGCTGGCTAGCTACAAATTGACACCCTTTGTGATCAGGCACAGTCAGAACTCCAGGGCCTTCAAGCATATCAATAAGCATATATTGCCAGTGTACTATAGGGCATAAAAAGTCATACATGACCAAGTTCCTTTTCCAAGATGTCCTCTTGAATTGCTATGTCAGCCAAATGGAAAAGTACTGTTTGTACTTTTCAAGACTGTGCTTATTGTTGATGTTTCCAGACATTTACCCCAATCCCAAAGTGGTCTTTTTCTGTTTAAACACCATCTCTTTGATCCAACCAATGGTTCAAAGAATTATAGCAGCTTGTAAGGAAAACCTTTGCCCAGGCTCCTGATGCAAGTGAGGAAAACCCTGAGAAGACACTGATGCGGTTGTGGAAGGATTGTGGAAGTCACAGTTATGACTGCATCACAAAGCTTGCTTGAGCTGTGGTGATGTCACCGAAGAGTGTATGAATGGCAACTGGAAGAGGACACTCAAAAGGTT